TGCTAGTTTGCATAAAGCCATGAGTTTTTATCCTTTGTATTTATTTCTGTTTGGTTTTATTTAGCCGCACTGCAACCTTTAGCCTGATCCTGTTGTTTCTGCTGCTGCTCGAACAGCCTCTTGAGCCGACACACGAGCTGCTCACAGTTTAAATGGCCAACTTTTTGTCTGCGCCTCTTTAGCAATGACGTATTTCTACTGATTTTCCTCCCATTCCAGTATAAATCTTTTTATGCCTTTTTATTTTGGTCTCTCTTATGTAATCTATCTAGTATCTATTCACATTCGGCTTTCTCCTCTCCAAAATAGGGTGCACAGAAATCCACTGGACATTTTCTCATCAATATAAAGAAAATGATCCAAGGGCAAATCAATATCAATATTTTACTGTTGTCATACAATCACTACAACAATTACTGTAGGGAATGAACACCTTCCCCCTGATAATGACACATAATGAAGGAACTAAAAAAATGGCAGGAAAAAAGAACACTTCAGCACTTTGCTCGTTAACCATACCGCTCCACGTTAAACGGATCAATTGCAGTTTTATTTTTTTTGTGTTTTTTGTGTTTCCACTTGCCTCCGTTGTGTGTGGGCAGAACAAGAGCAGCACAAACACAAGTGCTTCAAATACGTTCATGCTCCTCTTAAATCTCTTGCTGTATATATACATTAGGACAAGATGCACATCACACTACATGTGTCATCTGTTGCGCAACTTTTATTTTATGCACTAACTCAAAAAAAAGTAAACGTTTGTGTTATAATCTGAAAAAATAAAAAATAAAATTAGGAAAGGTGTTGTTCATATCGCAACTACATTTATTAACCAGTCTGAATCCTGTTGATTTTGTAAAAACCAGCTGGCAACAATAAGTCATGCACGTCACATCTTCAGTGATGCAAACTCTACATGCAATATGAAAAAGACACTAAATGTTTTTCCAGACCTTACAATTATTTGTGTGTGATTAAAAAATAAAAATAAAAAACATTGAAATGCTAATGACAATGAATGTTAATGAGTTTTCCACTGATGCCCAAATCTGGTTGAGCTGTATTTCAAATAAATTATCTAAATTGAAAAAATATATATATATTTCGGCTGCTCCCTTCTTCAGGGGTCTCTACAGCGAACTAAGTCGCAAGAAGATTTGGTAATTGTTTTTACGCCGGATGCTCTTCCTGATGCAACCACAGACCACCGAACTGCCACAGCCCTCCGTGCGGAGTAGAGAGCTGCCATCTAGGGCGCCCGGGGGAGCAGATGGTTGGGGTTAATGGCCTTGCTCAAGGACGCAGAGTGGGGTAAATGAGGGTGGAGGCAGGTGTGGGTGCTTCACCTATCCCACCCACATATTGATGTTGTCAGTACAGGGAGTTGAACCAGCGATCTTCCAATCAAAGGCCCACTTTCACTAACCTCTGCACCACCACTCCCAAAAATAAATGTTCAAAATAAAAAAAAAATAATAAAATAGAAAAAATAAAGAATGTTGAAACCAAAATAATAAAAAAGATATTCTTCACTTAGAGTAGAATATGATTAACTTTTAATAAAATGTTAAAATGACAACTTTCCCAAGTTAAACAGTTTGCCATTTTGACATAAAGAACCAAATATCAACAAGACACCAAACTACTGTGATGGACATACATCATATTTTATATATATATATATATATATATATATGTATATATATATATATGTATATATATATATATATTTTTTTTTTTTTTTTTTGTAGGAATATGGTGACAATCATTTTTGGCTATAAACAATGGTTATTAAGAAAACAACCACAACAACAAGTGTTTTATAAACTGAGGAAACAGTGCAAAAATTAGCATATTGCTAAGAATACAACAAAAAAAAAAAAAAAAAAAAAAAATTGACTCCTCGGTTTAGTTACAACCAAACAAAAGATCCACATTATCGTAAATGGACTGTACTTATGCATCACTTTTCAATCTTATCAAGATACTCAAAGTGCTTTACAAAACAATCTGTGCCCTCATTTACCCATTCAAACAGCACTCTACTATTTCTGTACAAAGAATAATCGGTGCTTGAGATCACATTCATACACCGATGGGACACACATTGTAGGCAATGAGGGGTTCAGTGCCTTGCCAAGGGACGCTTTGTCATGTGAATGTTGATGGAATCAAACCCCCAACTCTCACGTTGGAGGATGAATGCTCTAACCACTCAGACATAGCCGGCAAAATTGTAATAGATCATAAAAACTATTTTTTGTTGCTTATTGTTCTGACATAAAAAAACTATATATATATAAATGCAATTTAAAATAGCTTGTTCAACATTTATAGTCCCATTTCCCAGATCCTAATTTTATAACCTTGTTTTGTTTTGAAAGTTATTTTGTGAGTCTCAAAGGGCTCATATGATTGAACTGCAGATTTATTTTGTTACTGAAACTTGTGTAAACTCATCTATGTGTAAATTGTCAAACTACATATATAGAACTTAGATAAAATATATGAAACTGTATCCTCAAATACTCCCTCTTCTTCCTTTTATTTAATCTTTCTCTCTTTCTTCCTGCTTTGCCCACTCAACCATTTATCTTCTTATTCTACCTATTTGATGCCCACTTCTTCAGCGCTATATCTTTTTCTTGTTATCTCTGCTCATGTCCTTCCCTTTTTCTTCTTTTAGTGACCCATCCACCTCTTCCCACCTTCTCCTCCTGCCCCATCATTACTCCTCGTTCAGCACTCATCTTTCTAAGGCTGCTGAATTCCCCAGCACAACAGTGCTATTCTGCTGCCTACTAATAGAATCCCTCAGTTCCCCTAATGGATCTGTCAGAATCTCCTGAGAACAGCAGAACAGATGGATTGATAGGGTGGGAGAGAGACACAGAGAGAGTGGGACAAAGAGACACAGAAATGATGAGATGGAAAGGGAAGCAAAGAGGGGGGGAAAGACGCACTGGAGTTCTCGACACTTTCATCTGCGTCTCAGAAAGTCTCTGAGCAGCAGCTCCTCTGACACTACCAACCAGCCACCATATGGTCCGACAGACATCGTGCCACTTAAGGCCATGTGATTGTCACCACAGGATAATGACAGTTTCATTATGACCAGGTGAGGACAACAAACGGTGCACGTTCTTTTTCAAGTGTCTGCCAGAAACACAAAGGTTGTCTTTGGTTTTACTTCTTTAATTTTTGCAACACTTGACACTTTTCATCAGGAAATAATTATTTGAATAATACAACTGATAATTCCATGCTGGGAAACTTTGACGAGAAGCTGCCACTTAATAAAAAGCTCATAGTAATACCATAGTCCCTAGTTTATTGCGGGGGATCCGTACCCTGAAGTTTTGCGACAAGTGAAAAACCGCAAAGTAGGAATAGTAGTACAAGTATTAAGTAGTAGTTTATTTTAGTATTCATATACACACACACACACATATATATATACCATACGTACCATACCATACCATACCATACCATACCATTTTATTTTTAGAGCACTTAAAACAGGAACAAGACCAACCAACGTGCTATATAGCAGAAAACAAACAAGCAAAGCACACAGCAAAACATAAAACAAAGTAAAATAAAAATATAGATAGGAACAGCAGAAGATAATAGCTTAATGGCTACACAGTATTATACAGACAGGTTCAAAACCGATCATACAGTGTTAAAAGCCAGGGAATAATAGTGGGTTTTTAAGCGGGACTTGAAAACTGTGAGGAAGGGGGCCTGCCTGACAAGCAGTGGTAAGCCTTTCCACAGTCTTGGGCCTGTGACAGAGAAGGCCCTGTCACCTCTGAGCTTAAGACGGGTTCCTGGAACTGAAAGAAGCAACTGGTCTGCTGACCTCAGAGAATGCAGTGAGACATATGGCTGCAGCAGATCAGTGAGACAAGAGGGGCAGAACTGTTCAGTGATTTCAAAACATGCAGGAGTATTTTGACTGGATTCGAAGTTGAACCGGTAGCCAGTGCAGGGAGGCCAGAACTGGTGTAATGTGCTCTATATATACATAAAAAGGCATTTTAAGCCCTTCCCACAGTCTTGCATTGTTCTAAACATTGTTTCTAAACTTTAAAATGCTCTAAAAGAGCACAGCATGACATGTTCTATGCTCTCTGCCTCCGGCTGCTCTCTGCCACCTGCCAGCGCTCTCAGCCACGCCCACATCTCTGCTGCAGAGTGGAGAAATGACACGCAGCATAAAGAAGTTTCTCCTGCAGCTGTGGGCTGCACACAGGTGCAGCAGTTGCTAAATAAATTAAAATAATTTATTTAAATAAAAATTCCATGCCGATTGTGCGGTTCATCCATCAATCAGGCAGCACGATGGCTCAGTGGTTAACACTGTTGCCTCACAACAAGAAGGTCCTGGGTTCAATCCCTGGTTGGACCTGGGGTCTTTCTGTGTGGAGTTTGCATGTTCTTCTGGTGCTTGCGTGGGTTTTCTCCAGGTACTCCAGTTTCCTCCCACAGACCAAAAACATGCATGTTAGGCTGCCTTCAGGCCCAGGCCTCCCTTGCAAATGAGATCTGTGATCTCAATGGGATTTGCCTGGTTAAATAAAGGTTAATAATAAATAATTTAAAAAAAAAGCCAATTGTGTGTCATGTCCAATTTATTTTGAAAAACTGTGATAGAGTGAGTCCGCAAAAAAAACGATCCGCGAAGTAGCGAGGGACTACTGTACTTTTAAAAATACTTAGAATACAATTGCAAAACATGTTTTAAGTGTGGTGTTTTTTTTACACTTTGTGCTGCATAAAATTGGTGTTTTTACCCAGTCCAAGCTCAAGTTTGTAATAACTAAAGGTCAAAAACTGTTTTCTGGCATATTTTAAAGTTAACCAGTTAATTCAAGAAAAACAGCTAGAAAATGTAAAAACATGAAACAGCTCAGTATATAGGTTGTACGATAAATAAAAGCTTTAACAACAATTTAAATCTAAAACTATACACTGTTTGTCATATAGGAACTCACCGTTGTCTGTTGCGATGAAGAGAGCTGTGTATTTATTGTCATGAACATACGGAGACTCTCGGTCCAATGAGGCTGAGGTGTTGACAGTTCCTCTGACTGGGTTCACGCTCAGCCAGCCTGCTGGGTCTCTCAGAACAGCATATCTGCAACAAGGGGAAGATGAATGAATAAGTGAAGAAATCAACAAGAAGACAAGACTGTGGTTATTAAAACAAACATTCATAAAGTGCTTCAATTAACCAAAAAAAAAAAAAAAAGTTTTCAGTTGCCTGTAGTTCTAGCTACTGACCAACAACCAATAAAAACAAATTACAACACAATATTAACAGATTCTCATGAGTATAAAAAATATATATATCGTTTTATAAATTTGATAGAAAGAAAAAATCTATCTATCTATCTATCTATCTATCTATCTATCTATCTATCTATC